GTCGAAAATTTTAAACTATTCTCTTAATTGCTGTCTCCAACGGCGGTTGATCAGGCCCCCGTTATATGAAGAATACACGCGCTACCACCAAAATGTAATATACGGTAGAATGGTCGAGTAAAATGGACTCAATCTCCGCAATTTAAGAAACTTTAGAAACATACTTGATAAATCAATGGATTAAAATGTACTTGATAATGAATTACATCCATAATGAGTTCTCGAGCCCAGTGTGATCTCGGTTTTATTGAAAACCGGGGCACACTTGCCTCGATTCATATTACAAAACGGCCTGGTGTTGTAACCGGTGCTGACTCCTAATTTCTTCATAATTGCGTTATTCAATAATATTTGGTACAATTATCTGAGACACAACAGAGGCGATAAAGTCATCGACGAATTTACGCACATCATTCAGCCTTTTAAACTCTTTATCCACTAAGGCGTGCTGCATGGACCGGAACAAGTGATAGTCGGATGGGGCCAAGTCTGGTGAATATGCCGCGTGCGGGAGAACTTCCCATCCCAAGTTTAAGTGGGTTTTCTGAGTCGCGCAAACAACATGAGGTCGAACATTGTTATGCAGCAGTATGACTTGCCTGCTTCCTTGCCCAGTAAATGGCCTTTTCCGATCAAGTTCTTTGCTCAGTTTGTTCAGTTGTCGGCCGTAGCATTCCGCAGGGACCGTCTGACCTGTTTCCAGGAGTTCGTAATAAAGGATCATGTCCCACCAGATACACAGGAGAATGTTCTTTAAGTGGATGTTCTGTTTCGGCGTCGATGTACTGGATTGTCCGGGATCTACCCACGACTTTTTACATTTGGGATTCTCGTAAAAAATATACTTTTCATCACCCGTCCCAATTCCCCACAAGGAGTCCTTTTTTTGTTGCCGGGTAAGCAGTGAAAGGCACGTGTTCATACGTTGACCTAAGTTGTGTTCGGTCAACACATGTGGGCCACATTCCAAGTGTTTCGATTTTTCCCATTTGACGCAAACGCTTAGAAATAGCTGTTCGGATGACTCCTAACTGAGCTGTAAGCTCTTTTTGCGTTTGCGTTGAGTCTTTATCCAATAGAGCTTGCAATTCGGCATCTATAAACTTTCGAGGCTGTCCAGGACGCGGCTGGTCACTCAGATCGGCATCACCACTTCTAAAACGTTTATACCAATAATTACACGTTTCATAAGATACAACGTCGGCACCAAGAACACTGCACATTGATTCCCGTGCTTCAGAAGCATTTTTTTCGTGTTGGAATTCGTATAAAATGTNCCCACAAGGAGTCCTTTTTTTGTTGCCGGGTAAGCAGTGAAAGGCACGTGTTCATACGTTGACCTAAGTTGTGTTCGGTCAACACATGTGGGCCACATTCCAAGTGTTTCGATTTTTCCCATTTGACGCAAACGCTTAGAAATAGCTGTTCGGATGACTCCTAACTGAGCTGTAAGCTCTTTTTGCGTTTGCGTTGAGTCTTTATCCAATAGAGCTTGCAATTCGGCATCTATAAACTTTCGAGGCTGTCCAGGACGCGGCTGGTCACTCAGATCGGCATCACCACTTCTAAAACGTTTATACCAATAATTACACGTTTCATAAGATACAACGTCGGCACCAAGAACACTGCACATTGATTCCCGTGCTTCAGAAGCATTTTTTTCGTGTTGGAATTCGTATAAAATGTAGTGCTGAATGGGCTGTTTATCAGTTGCCATCGTAAACTCTGCTATTCTGAAGGCTTATGTAACTTACATAGACTTGTCGTTCCGTGTTCTGAAACCTTTTTTCCGATCCTTTTGAAACCAGAGAAGACTGCGAATATATTTCTATTTTAAATATAATTTTAAGCTCGAAGAAAAAATCGGTAAAAATTAAGTCACACACCTAATATCTCTAAATTTTGTATAATTGGGTGCAGATATTTTGTTTGATCAAGATAGAGGACATCAAGACGAAAATTTGAAAAAAAAAATTAGAATCGGTCAACTCGTTATTGAGATATTTAAACAATTAGATTTACATATAAAGTTGAATATCTCAGAAAGTAATTATCCGATTGAGCCTATTTTCAATACGAACCATTGTTACTACTAGAGACAACTTCGTGCCAAATTGCAAGTTGATATCTCCATTTTTGCGGATGCTAGAGTGCGAACAACGTTTTCAAGTCAAAACGACAAAAATGAAAATATCTCTAAATTTTGTATAATTGGGTGTAGATATTTTGATTGGTCAAGATAGAGGACATCGAGACGAAAATTAGAAAAAAAAATTATAATTGGTCAACTCGCTATTGAGATATTAAAGAAATTAGATTTAAATATAAAGTTAAATATCTCAGAAAATAATTATCCGATTGAGCCCATTTTCAATACGAACCATTGCTACTACTAGAGACAACATCATGCCAAATTTCACGTTGATATCTCCATTTTTGCGGAAGCTAGAGTGCGAACAACGATTTTAGGTCAAAAAGAGAAAAATCGAAATATCTCGAAAACTTTCTATGAACGGGTATACATATTTTGATTGATAACGATAGAGGGCATCGAGATGAATATTTTGAAGAAAAAAATGAAATCGGTTGGGTAGTTTTCGAGATATTTAGGAAGAAGCGTAAAGAAACAAATGGCTACTTCTCAAAAACTAATTGACGAATCCAGCTGAAGTTTGGCATGAAATTAATCCCAAATGATTCCAATAAACGGACAAAATTTCAGATTTTTTGGAATAAATTTTCCCGTTTATTCGTTAATTTTAAGAAAAAGTGACCACCGAGTGGACGCTATCACACACAGGAATGGTCCCCAACTTCGTATTTTCCCGTTTCAGATGATTCTGGATCGTTTCCAAACCAAATTAGCAAAAGTGAAAATCGAACGAATGCAAAGCTTCCATTCGGAAGCAAAAATTAATCATCTGATCCAGTTCACCGTTGATATTATTCATTGTAGTGGCAAAAGGAAAACTCATGCCAAATTTCAAGTTGATATATCAATTACAAAAATAACTAGCATGCGAACAAGGATTTTGAGCGAAAAATGGAAAAATTGAAATACCTCTGAAATTTAGTACAAACGGGTATACGTCTTTCGATTGATTGAGATAGGAGACATCGAGATGATTATTTAAAAAAAAATAATTGAAATCGGATGGACAGATTCTAAGATATTTACGAAAAACGATTTTGATACAATGTTGAATATCTCCTAAACTAATCATCCGATTCAGCCCATCTTCAACCCTATCCATTGCAATACTAAGAGGCAGACTTGTGCCAAATTTCAAGTTGATATGTCAATTTAAAAAATAACTAGCGTGCGAACAAGGATTTTGGGCAAAAAATGGAAAAATTAAAATACCTCTGATATTTAGTGTAAACGGATAGACATATTTTGATTGATTGAGATAGGAGACATCGAGACGAGTATTTTGAAAAAAAAATTGAAATCGGACGGGTAGATTCTGAGATATTTACGAAAAACGATTTTGATACAATGTTGAATATCTCCTAAACTAATCATCCGATTCAGCCCATCTTCAATCCCATCTATTACAGTACTAAGAGGCAGACTTGTGTCAAATTTCAAGTTGATATATCAATTCAAAAAATAACTAGCGTGCGAACAAGGATTTTGAGCGAAAAATGAAAAAATTGAAATATCTCTGAAAATTAGTATGAACGGGTATACATATTTTGATTGATGAAGATAGAAAACATCGAGGCGAGTATTTTGAAAGACAAAACTTGGAATCGGATGGATAGATTCCGAGATATTTACGAAAAACGATTTAGAAACAAATGGGTTTTTCTCGAAAATGGTTGGAGCGATTCAGCTGAACCGGTGCACAGAGTTAATCCACATTTATACCTATAGTCTCACAAAATTTCAGATTTTTTAAAATTTTTTTAGCCGTTTATTCCTTCGATTTTCTAAAAGTTGACCATCAAGTCGGCCAAGTTGATCATGCGCACATACAGACACAATCGTCAAACTTTGTATTTTTACGTTTCAGACCATTCTACATCATTTCCATGCAAAATTAGAAAATCGAAAAATCCATGGAATACAATGCTTTCATTCGGAAGCAAAAAAAAATATAACGAACAAAGTTATGTGAGATTATTTATACGAACAAACGCTTTAAGACGCTTTAATGGTGGGATTGAAGATGAGTGTGTTGCTCTTGTAGAATGCACGTGTAAAATTTCGTGTTTCAAAAATTTTTTTCCGCAAAAAATGTTAGGAAACTAAGGTTGAAATTGCGCTCAAAATAAACATTTAACACTAGTCTATGAGCTCTGAAAAGTATTTCTTCCAACAAAAATTATCTGTAGTACTTGGATATCCTTAATGACAAAATGTACTAATTGTTGTGTTGAAATATTCCTGTCTAATTCGTCATTAAAAGACCAACATTCTTCAGCTACAATTCCGAAAGTTGCGTCCACGGTAAAAGGGTTCTAATTAAATTTTGGTTCAACAGTTGATTAAAGAAATTAACCCGCTGACGAGTGGGCTCACCAACGCAAATAGCACGGCTGCCCGTACTCCCCACTCCCGATCGCACCGACACAGTTTGGTAAGGCTTTCTCGTCAGAGGGATGGAGAAAATATATACGGTGCTTTATATATGGTGCTTGCCTCTTCTAGAGTGGAAGGATATAACCACATTGAACAGAAGAAGACGGTGCTTTATATTCATATGATCAATGGTTCGAGCCATTCTCAGCCGAATCTGAGACCATTAGATTTCTTCTTCCTTATTGGCTAGAAACCCTATTGGGAATATGTGCCTTGACCATTAGATTTGAAACCTCTGGAGTTTACTTGGAATTCTCCACCATCGCTATTAGCGTCACCTACTTTGGATGTAATTGGCGAATTTGGGTGACTAACCGTGTATGTACACAACACATTCAAAGAAATAACAATTCAGATACAACAAAAACATTCGAAAATAACCTCCAATTCATCCAAAATATCACCATATTACCTTTTCCGACTCATATGTCTTTTTCTGTAATCTCGCCCAAGTTTTGAAATCCGTGCATGTTCTGCAAGGCTTCTCATCAACCATCGTATTCCATCAATTCTTAAAAATTTAGTTTAGCAACCCGAATATAATTGAAGGTACTAGTTGTACATGACGGAACAAGTGTTATCCAGAGATAATAGGGGAGATTGCTCAGGCTTATGGGAACTGATCGATCAGAGTTTCATAGCGGTGGCGCGCATGAACTAATCGAGAGGCAGTCTCTGTGGTTAAAGAAATTTTCATCTATTACCATCGAAACAGTCGATAACTGGGATGCGTTCCCAATCTTAAATCCAACATGAAACCTCCTTTGCATTCACTCATCCGCTTGATTATCCCATTTTCGTTCATACAACTTCTTATTGTCTTAATTTGTAAATTAGATGATCATCAGGGAGAGGGAGAGAAGGAATTATGAAGTCTTGAGCGAAAGAGGATCATTTATTTGAATTTCTATACAACTAGATCTTTAATAAAAAAAAAAATACGAGCAATTCATCTTATTCACATTTATTACATATTTTGTCAGTGATACAAAG